GATTCAAAGCAGCCCTGGAAAACAAATATATGCCAGCCCCATAAGTCATTGTGCGTGTGTGCGTGTGTGTGTGTGTGTGCGTGTGTGTGTGTGTGTGTATGTATTACTGGTATGTTTCTTTTTCTAATTCAAAATATTGGTTCTGTGAGTGTAAAAAATAATTATGCAGTAAGCCTACTCACATACACACACAGAGAATCTCACTGACACAAGCACACAAGCTCATTGATACACAGGCTCACAAATAAACAATCTCATTCATACACATAAGATCATTTACATAAAAACACAAGCTCTCTGATACAAACAAATAAGCTCACTGACAGACAATCTCACTGACACACACAGACAAGCTTACTCGTACACACACAAACTTAGTACAAACTCTGACACACACAAGATTACTACAGACAAACTCATTGGTATACAAACACAAACTTACTACAAACAAGTTTACTGACACACACACGCTCCCTACAGAAAAGCTTGCTGACACACATGCTCACTACAAGCAAACTCACACACACACACACACAATCTCACTGACACATACACATGCTCACTGACACACACATGCTTACTGCTAGCTGACAGAAAATCTAGCTGACACACACATGCTCACTACAAGCTCACTGACACACACATGCTCACTATACACGTGCGCACACACACACAAGCTCACTGACACACACACAAGCTCACTCACTATCAGGCACACACACACAATTACTTTTATGGGTTGAAGCTTACATGTCACAGAAGGTAGTGGGAGCACAGGGAGGTGGTCTCTATGTTCTGTCCTCTTCCTTAATCAGCAGCGTGAGTGTGGGGGCAGAGCTTGTGATGGGGCAAGGCTTGCATGGGGGAGGCGGAGCCTGAATGTGGGGCAGAGCATTGTGGCAGAAATGTCTCTGGGAGGGGCCTGCTTGCCAGCTTCCTGCCTCAGGACTATGGCCCCCTGCAATAGATCTGGTTAAAATACTTTAAAAGGGCTCTTTTTGTGCAATTGGGATTAAATGGTTCGGTTCCCAAACAGTCACATGAACCAGAGACCACCCGGGAGCTTGTTAAGGCTAATTGACAGTTTGTAACACTTTCCACCGCAGTGTTCTAAGTGTTCATCTGGGTGGCCGCTGTTTGCACGAACGACCACGAGGTGGTGGCCATCTTGACCCCGCAGACGCAGGCAGTGGTGTTTGAGTCATGTTCATGGAACTGTTATGGACACTGAAACTCTCGAACACCGCTGGACTTCCAGGATCAACTGCCTTCAGTTCTACACAACTTAGAAGGTCACTGTTCAGTGGAAACATTCCCACGAACAAGGTGAACAAGCTCCAGGGTAACATTGACTATGTTTGGTAGTTTGTTCGGTTTTTAAACTACCGAACTAGACCGACCACAAGCCCTGTTTCTCTGGAAGTGTTTTGGGCATGGAATTATGCGTGCAGTCAGTCAAATTATGACTTCCAGGAAATTCCTGAACCCCTGATCCGATCTGGGTGATTTTTGGATACGTTGGTCACCCAGATCCGGGCTATCAGAGAATGTAACTTTGTGGAGGTTTTGTATGTTTAAAGGTATTTTGGGGGTTTTGTAAAAATGTATGTTTTTTGTTGCCTGGAGATAATTGAGTTTATCTTGTTTTATGTGGGAATGTCCTGGACCTGAGAGCCAATGTAATTGTGTGTATGTTTTTACTGTAGTCTACTCTCAGGTCCAGGGGGGAGTGCCCTTTGCATGGGGACCTGCATAAAAGGCCAGTTGTGGCTACCAACAAATGAGTTCCAGTTTACCCTCAACACAGAGCCTCATCTCATGCTTGCAGGGCAAAGCTATACCAGCTATTATCCCTGCTCCTGGGATTGTTCTTTGGATTGCTATAATCACTAGCTATTGTAAGAGCTACACTGCTATACCTGCTATACTCTCTTGGAGGAGAGGTCTTCTCACTGGGAGCTGGATCCAGGAGTTTGGTCCAGGGTGAGAAGAGATGGCGAGACCCGAGCCAAGCTGTGGCGGCTAAGGGGCTATGGTGCTTATGGTGTCTGGTGCAGTGCTGATGGTACTCCGCGACAGCTAGGAAGCAGCGTTTGGTGGAGGCACCCAGTTGGGGTGCCAGGCAGTTCATCACAAGCATGAACACACGAAAATAGTGGGGATTCAGAAGGGAGGCTCACAGTGCTCCCTCTGGCCCCCAGCAGTCTAAATGCAGCCTCCAGCCTCCAGTACCTCCCTCATTCTTTTGCCTGTGGTGAGGGGACACATTGATAAATATGGGGGGGGGCAAGTTCCCCCACCTTGCCCCCTCCTGTGGATGCCCCTGGCTACATCTATATCTTTTATCAGTGCCTCTTGAGAGTTATGCATTTGATTTCAAACAAATTGCAATTCATCTGAAGTTTAAGCTATAGGAGATTTGTCCAAATTACTCATCTCCATTATGGACAATGGATGAGCCATTAGTAATTTGGAGTTCCATCCATGGTGCAAAAAAAAAAAAGTTGATTGAAGAAAAAAAAAAAAAAGATGATTATTGGCTAGGAGACAGCCTCTATATGTTTTATTCACAGAACAAGTGAGAAATGGCCAATAGAGTTGCCAAATGGAATGTAAACAAAGTAAGCCAATTTTCTATTCTCTAATCTACGTTTTGCTCTTAATACCCAAAAGAAAGGGCAGTCCTACAAGTCACTGTTATCGAGAAGTTTCTTTCAAATTTGTTTTTTCCTCTCCTGAGTGTGGAAGGATGACTCTTCCTTCAGCACTGAGGAGAGGAAAAAACAAATTCCAGAGGTCACTCATAACATTTCTTAAATAATTTCTAAATAATAGTTTCCCCTATTTAAAGTAGGCAGTGGCTTTATGGAATTGGGAATGAGTTTTGATATGTACGCAGATCGACCATTTAGAATTGTAGATACCGTGTCAGACCAAAATTATGGTAGATTATTCTAGTCATGGATTACAGAAATTAGTGTTAAAGAATTGGTCAAGGTCAAACCACAAGTAGAACAAAAAAACTGAGGAAAATGCTCATGATGCATTCTTTAACAGACATAGATTCTAAACTCTCATCACACCAGCCTATAATATATATTTTAAGCGAGCCCATCTTGTCACAAACGTACCCTATTCCAAAAGCGTGCATATCTTAGATCTTGTGGTGAAAGGGTTAAAATTCAATATTAGTCTGCTCTAGACCAGAAATAATGATAAAGATACGCCTTAACAACATCCCCACTTAATTATAATAATAATATAAATATTACTATTTTAATGCTGCCACCACCAAGACAATTTATAAGTGGGGTGCCTTGGTCCCCCAGGCAAATCAAAACAAACACACACCACATACAATTTAGCACACTATCTATGCAATTGCAAATCACTAATTGGTCTCTTCAGTTAATGTGATTCTTTGCCAGACAAAGGTAGAACTTAATAAAGGAATATTTATTATGAACAAAAATATTAAGATTGCATAGAAAAAATAGACGACAAACAAATTATTTACACCAGCAACAGATGAACAAAAAAAGAGAAATTAACAGAGGTCCTAAATTACTCACTCACCTTACTCACTCAGGTTTTAAAAGTAAAACTTTTGCCCATTGGGTCACTGGCAATGAAAGATGATGACTCACTGAACGTTAGATTTTGGCCGCAAGCAAGTACACTTGCAATTTACATATAATTTTTTATATGTGTGTGTAAATTGCAGTAAATCTGATTATTTTCTTTCTTTCTTTCTTAATTTATATTTTATTTCCAATTCCAAAAAAAGATACGTTATTATATAAAGAAATGTTCACAGTTACACAACAACAGTCAACAGTTTATAACATCATGAGTTTAATCCCTTAAGGACACATGACATGTGTGACATGTCATGATTCCCTTTTCTTCCAGAAGTTTGGTCCTTAAGGGGTTAAGGAATGGGTTGTTAAAGTTTGCTTATGCTGTGGTGCCTACTCAGTGTTGCATAATCTGTGTCTAGTGGCCTCTACACATTTAGCTGGTGGTTGGTAGTATGCCTCTGAGGGTGTTATCTCTAAAGTGGCCTGTGGTATGTCTGCTTTGTAATTAGATGTGGTCTTTTATGGACAAACATCATAACCACGCTTGCGTCTCATGTAACAGCTTGTGGGATTGTCCATCTGGTGTTGGGTGTGCTGTACTGTATTCTTTCTGACCTTTCCCTTAGCTTACACTGTGTCCAGTCACTATTTAATAATCCCCATTTCGGCTTGTGTCTCCTGGAGGTCAGCCTTCCATACTCTCCTCACCTCTTGTAGGAGACTTTTATTGTTCCTCAACTGAGGCAGACTCCTGGGGTGAAGAGAAAAAAAAAGGAAGGCAGCGCCACTACAAACCACATAAATTAAAAGAGCACAGAATAGGCAGACTAGAATGCAATATATATAATAGATAAAAAGCAAATAGAAGTCCAGAATAAATAGTCTGACTAGTAGATGAATCAAACAACGAGGTATATCTTTGTAGAGTTGAATACAGTCTTTTGTAGTGGGGTATTCTTCAGAGTGGTGTAGATGCGTCTTTGTACATCATATGAAATGAGAAAATAACAACTGATGGTATAGTATGTCCCGAAAGGGGTAGAAGCAATAAAAGAGTATATGGTCCTACTCACGTTTTCAAGAGCTATGGACTTAGCTCTAGTGTTGATAACGTACAGTGGTATAATCCCCACTTATGGGATACGTTAGGTCTTAGTATTCTTTCTTGATTAGGGAACTAGTCTGCCTATTCTGGTCTGCCTATTCTGTGCTCTTTTAATTTATGTGGTTTGTAGTGGCGCTGCCTTCCTTTCTTTTTTCTGTACCATTTCTGTTGTAAGGCCTGTGAGGGAGCCCTACTTTTTAGGTGTGCTGCCACTTTTTACTTATTTATTATTGTTTCTATTGTATTTTGAATAGATAGAGAGCGCTGATCCCGTTCTTCTGTTCTAGACTCCTGGGGTGAGGCAGACTGCTCACTCTCCTCACACAAGTTTTCCGGGGTCTCCTCCTCCACTTGCACCGCGGGCGCCATCTTGGCCATGCTGTTTAGAGCAGGCCGCTCAAAGGACAGCCTAATATCTGGCAGAGTTTCAGAGTTGTAGGGATATGGTATCTCCTTGCGGCCCATGATGTCTGCTGGTGGGGGTAAGTAGTTTTTGGGTTGTCTGCAGAGCTTTGAGTCTATATTTTGGTGGGAAAAACCTGTAATCAGACAGAGCTCCTCTAAGACACTCATTTACATATCATTTAATAGATATACCCTCTGGTTTAATCTCATGTTTCCAAGCCGGCCCACAGGTGGAGATAAGGCGTATCTATAGGAATATAAGTGATCACCCCCTTGGGTTCCAGACCAACATCAATCCAAATAGTAACTTCTGGTTTTATCTTCTCTTTTGTGCTTGCCACGGAGATAATAATTGCATCTATGAATATGTTACAATTTTCCCATTCCATAGATATGGTACACTTCTTACTTGTGACCTAATATAACGGACTTTGCAATTCCATCCAAACGACTTATGTGGCGATACCCATATTTACATTCTATTCAAAGGATTTGTTTTCCTCATTCTAAATATGCACAAAATGAGGCACGACAACTCATCTGTGAGTTATAATTCATGTATGTTTTGGATATGATACTGGGACACAAAGGGTCTCTTGAATGCTAGGGCGCATTAACATATCAAAGAAATTTAATATCTATGAGGAGTTACAGGCATTTCACACCTTGCAGAAGCCTAGGTTGATCAAAAGAACAATTCATGTTGTAAACCATCTGACCTCTATCACATTTATATATAATTTACATTTACCCTTTCTGACATCTGTCCTCTACCAAGCGGCCAATTCATGCATCCACTACACATATTACATTAAATAGCAATACTTTTTAGTGTAACAATGAATTATGCATCTTTGGCATAACACATCCTGAACTGATTCAATTTATTTTGCCTCAAACCTATCAGGACACTGCCATAGATGAAGTCCCAAAGGAGGAAGCTATCTGGGTCCTCCAGTGGCATGTCTCAATTTTCCACATGCTTATCTTCAAATTGAACAAATTGTAGATATTATCTATGTAAATGTCTTTCCAGGGCATAAACATGTTGAAAATGACTGGGATATTAGTGTAACTTTAGTAAAACCATGAGAAAATAAAACCTGAGACCTTCACTAGGGACCAGTCATCGTAAAGAAGCTAAATTCATACCATGCTCCACTCTGTAAGTTTTCAATGTATTTACCTATTCAATAGAAAAAAACAAACAACCTTTAAAACTAATTGTGATAGCAGCACAGTTTATTAATTCAACCATTTTCTTCAAACAGCTTTTGTTTTGCTTTCCAAAAAAAGGTAACAAGAAATTCACTAAATAATACTATAGTGCAGGGGTTACCAATTAATTTTTCCCATGGAACCCTTTGCCATAGTCGTGGAACCCTCACCCCCCTCCACCACTGTAAAAAAATAATAATGATAATTTACACCATTGCATAAACCTTTTTTTGTATGTGCCGGTGTGTGTCTGTGTGTCAAGGTTTATCTGTGTGTGTGTATGTATCTGACACACAGATACACACACACACACACACACTGCCACATAATGGCATACAGATACACACACTGACACGCAGATAAACAAACCTTGACACAAGATACATACACCTTGACACACCTTGTCTGTGTGTGTGTGTGTGTGTGTGTACATGTATCTGTGTGTCAAGGTGTGTGTTTGTATATGCTGGTGTGTGTCTGTGTATTAAGGTGTGTGTATCTGTGTTTGTATGTGCCAGTGTGCGTATCTGTGTGTCAGTGTGTATGAATCTGACACACAGATACACACACTGGCACATAGTGGCACACAGATATACACACCTTGACACACAGATATACACACCTTGACACACAGATACAGGCACCTTGACACACAGTGTGTATCTGTGTGCCAAAGTGTGTATATTTGTGTGTCAAATTGTATCTGTGTTTGTATGTGCCGGTGTGTGTCAAGATGTGTGTATTCATGTTTGTATGTGCCAGCGTGTGTATCTGTGTGTGTGTGTATCTGGCACTAACACACAGATACACACACCTTGACACACAGTGTGGGTGTATATGTATCTGTTTGTCAAAGTGTGTGTTTGTATGCACCGTTGTGTGTCTTTGTATCAAGGTGTATGTATCTGTGTTTGTATATGCCAGTATGTGTGTCTGTGTATCTGACACACAGGTACACACACCTTGACACACAGTGTGCATCTGTGTGTGTATCTGTGTTTATATGTGCTGGTGTGTGAATTTGTGTGTACGTATGTATCTGACACACAGATACACTCCTAGTGGCACATATATACACACATTGGCACACAGATACACACACCTTGACACACAGTGTGTATCTGTGTGTGTGTGTGTGAAAGTATCTGTGTGTCAAGGTGTTTGTATGTACCAGTGTGTGTATCTGTGTTTGTATGTGTGTCAGTGTGTATTTGTGTGTGTGTGTGTGTGTGTATGTATCTGACACACACACACACACACACACTGAAACATAGTGGCACACAGATACACAAACCTTAACATACAGACACATACACACACATATGTTTTAATTTGCTGTTCACTTACCTTTTTTCTGCAGGAGGATCTTCAGTGCTGCTGGCTGAGGTTGGTGTGCTGCTCAGTCCCCGCTGCTCCCTCTCCCTCTCCAGGTGGCATGCTCTCTCTGAGAGGAAGTGCTATCACTTCCTCCCAACATCCCATATAACAGGGGAAAACGCTGCTGTAGTGGGTATTGTGCCAGGAGTGCCATGGCACCCCTTGCCTCCCCCTAATGTAAGTAGTCAAACCATTCAATATCGGTTTGAATTTTATCTTGGGTCTGGTAGGTTCCTCTTTCCGCCTCTGCTACTAATGATGGAGAGCAGTGCAGGGCTTAGCCCATTGGCTGAGAGCAATCAGCTGGTACTCTCAGCTGATTTTTTTTATCAGGAGAGCTAATGGAAGCTCCTATATGAGTTTCTAGGACTCTCTTCCAGCTGAGAGGAGCAAAGAAGTGAAACCATTACTAAATGGTTTTTGATTACTGTAGGGGTTATGGTGCTTGGAGTGTACAGGTGAGTCACACAGATTACAACATAGAATTATTATTACCAATTGTATTTTTACATAGAATCCAAATCAAGAGTTATACATTTAAGTAACTTTTCTTTTTTTTTTTTATTAAATAATAGATTTCTCTTACCTGCATGAAAGCTGGCTAAAATTCTCAAAGTAGATTAAAGTAAAAGCCTTTACTATCATTAGTTAAAATTAATTCTACTATTTTAAAGGCATTTCAAAAGAATTCTCTATAGAGTCCCAAACGTTTCACTACCATTTTATTTCATATAATTACTCCTGCAGAGATGTTTTTGTGTTGATTGACAGGCAAATGTTTCAGCCACACTCTCGTCTTTCCTTACAGTAACAAGCAGTGTCTATCCAGAGGGTTTAATCCAAAATGAGCGCAGCAGCTGTTTGTACTAAACCTCGGAATGCTGGGTTAAATTAATAGATTATTATTCATACCCCAAATCCTAATTGCAAATAAACATCAAACTAAATAAACATCTGCAACACTTTTGCAATTCCCTCATTACTTTAAGGTATTGTAAATAAAACATAGTGTTTCATTCAAACGCAGAAGACTATGCACTGCATTTATACTTCATAGAAAATAGATCTTGCCTCTGTGCCAACCATCTGCTGGCACATAGCATGGGTTTTAGCATTGACAGAGACCTAAAATATAAATAGCATCCACTCAAGTGGCCCAAATTGCATCATGTTTAGTCAAGAATTTTGGACAGTACAACCTCTATCCTACTACAATATGTTAAAATATATGAATCTATTGGAAATAAATTTCTCTCTCTCTCTCTCTATATATATATATATATATAATGCCAAAATACCAGAGTATTGCCGTATGCAATGATACCTTTTTTTATTGGACTAACATAATATTTTAAAGACAATCTTTGGAGAGATACCTCTCTTCCTCAGGTCTGAAGCAATACCTGAGGAAGAAAGGTATCTATCGAAAGCTTGTCTTTGAAATATTATGTTAGTCTAATAAAAAAAGGTATCATTGTATACTGCAATACTCTGGTATTTTGGCATCTTGTCTACAGGACTAATGTTGTGGAAATGAGATATTGACATATTTTCTAGTTAGTAAAATGCCTATTTACTCATTTAACTGAAATCAGTGCATAAGCTATTAACACATATTTAGACAAAATGGCCACTAGAAGCTTCTAACCCCTCCCTCCCTATAACACTGACTAACTCGTGTAACAAGATGGCGCTGGAATCTGGGGGAGACCCTCATGGTCCCAGTGACATTACCCTCAGTAGGCAGAGCATTAAGAAGACCACTTAACACCTAACCAATTATTGATGTATTATTTCATGTTATCTCTGACAATGCTTATGATGTAATTTTGCTTTAAAAGGGACCTGCCGGCCCCTCTGAATAAACTTTCCTCAAGTTATTCATCAACCTGAAACCTGTGTCTGGTATGAATTACTTCAGGGAGCATGCACGCATTGTTTCTTAATTTGGCCAGGGACAGATACACAAAGAATAATCAATTGATTGAATTAATTTCCATTTCAATTGGGCCACCGGATTTGCCGGTTCGGAGGGCCGGAAACCAATGGACCGGAGCGGACCTCCGGAAAGTGGGACAACCGGAGCCTAATCACCTGCACAATACAGCCGTTGTCTGTATTCTCCTGTTTTGTGTCGGTCTGCCTCCGCGTCCACTTCCGGCTTCCAGAAGGCTACAAGAGACAGGTAATATCTCGTCCGGTGCCTCTTTTTTAATGAACCTGTCGATTGTCTATCTGCCTCCTGTGTGTTTGTATGAAGGTGTGTGACGGCCGGTTCTTTTTTAACCTTAGCTTGACTGCCTAGCGGGCAGGGAATGCATACAGCCGATAAGGGGCTGGGTACAACCCGGGTAACGGGGTTGGGATATTGAGTACAGCCGGTAAGGGGCTGGGTACAACCCGGGTAACAGGGTTGGGATATTGAGTACAGCCGGTAAGGGGCTGGGTACAACATGGTTAATGGG